CACTGGCCCGGTTGGAAGTGGGAAGTCTACTCTTCTCTCAGCGATCACTGGTGAAATTTCGAACGCCAGTGGGACGATTGATTATGAAGGTGCCGTCATTTACTTGCCTCAAATTGCTTGGGTGTTCTCGGGAACGATAAAAGAAAACATTCTGTTTGGCCAGCCTTACGAGGAGTCTAAGTACAAAAGAATAATCAACGTCTGTGTTCTGAAAGAAGACTTTCAGCGGTTACCTGATGGTGACCAAACAGTTGTAGGGGAACGCGGCGAGGTTCTGAGTGGAGGACAACAGGCGAAAGTAAGTTTAGCTCATGCAGTTTATGCTGACGGAGATATTTATCTATTGGATGATCCACTAAATGCTGTCGATTTTAAGATAAGTCTTGTTCTTCTGATCCTCTGGGCTTAGCTTTGCAAGAAACGAGAGTCACAAGTCTGGAGCAGCTATGATGGCTGAAAGAGATAAGATCAAGGCGTGGTGGTTGAAAAGTATTTCTATATGATCATTCAGTTAAACATTATAAGATTTATTGGGCCTAGACACAACTCGCTTGGGTTAGCTACTTTCGTTTGTATCTTGGAGATGTTTATGTAAGTATCACAGAATAGATGTCACGGAGTAGATGAGGCATTCAACCATGTTACACATAAATATTGTTAGAAAACTGCATTCTGTCTCAGAAAATTAGTCAGAAATGAGTTTTTTGGCCTTTTTTAGGCGAGTGCAGGCAAGTGCAAGGGAAACGCAAGGAGCAAGGCTTCAGCTCTTCCTTTCGCGTGTGACTCGCCATTCACGTTCGACTCGCACTTACCTCGCGCTTGTACGAGCAAGTGAGATATCGGGAACATGGTCAGAATTTTGTGAAGCGTCTCTCAACTCTACCATCTGATCTAAAAGCAAAGCGTATTGTTGGTTAAAAGCATAGCCTTTGCGAAATGATTTGCACGAAATAGTATAAAAGAAATGTAAAAAAAAGATTCCTGTCTTCCCTTTTAGGGCCTGACACAAGGTTTGAAACACACCCTAACAACAAGTTTACCTTGAGTAATGAGACTCAAACCAACCATTCCAGTTATCAAAAAAGGATGTGCTCCACTTCTGAAATAGTCCCAATAAAGCCTGGATGTCGCAACTCCGATTGCACGATCCTCCTTTGCCATCTCCAAACTCCTCGCTTCATCGGGCACAGCAT